TCAATTCCCCCTGGAAGCCCATTCACGAGAATGTACCCGTCCTTTATATTATTTTATTTGTCGTAAGAGTACCGTTTCCCCGGTACGTCACTATATATATATATATATCCGCTGAGGTGGCTAATGTCACTGCAATGTCAATATCAACTTATGTCACTGCAGTACCTATGACCGGGAGGTCCTAGGGTTCGAGTCTCGGCGGTTGGCAGGATTTTCGACAGTAGCTTCATAGCTAGGTCGAATTCAGCCTCTGACTGTAGGAAGTACCAGTAGTTTTCCGTGGTTTCTCCGATCAACACCAGGCGAATACTGGAGCAGTAATGGGCCACAAACCGTGCGCTATCTCTCCTTCCTCTTCCTTGTCCTATCCTCACCCTTTACTTACACATAAGTCCACTCACATGCACTACGCTACCACAAATACCGGGTGACCAGTCGGGAGCTTAGAGTTCGTCCCAACTGGGGCTGTGCCCCGCTGGTAGTAGATACCTGGTCGTGGAAAATCCCTGCAAGTCGGTGCCGGAGCTCGCCTAGTAGGTGTGGGAGAACCTCCCACGATAAAAAAAAACTTACACTACACTTACGGGACTAATTGTCTTACCAATTGACGCGCCTGGAATACTAATCAACCAATTAACAAAATTATAGAAGTCCAAAATTATGGTATAAGGAAGAAAGCAGGCGCAAATATGTTCCGCTGCCCACTTTACACTATACTATAGTTCATAACTCGGAAATGTTTCCCTCAACCGTAAAACTTTTTCAAGCCTTTTAAGATACTAATTGTGTTAATTAGTCTAAAAATCACAAAATGGGACTATTTTTGACGTTCTATTTCATTTTTTATACTTTGAAGCTCCAGTTTTTGAAAGTTGGATTCCAATGTCCAAGCTATTTTCGTTTTTAAACAATGATATACAAAGTATGGAATGTTCACATGGGTCCACCTAGATTGAAGCAAATTTGAAGTATATTTCTAAAATCACAAAAAATGTGTACTTTTACTCAAATCTAAGTATTAAAAAAGACACTTAAAAATGGAACATTCTAAACAGAGTACAATAATTCATTGCTCTTCTTCATTCACTAACTTTTTCAAGAGTGTGCTATTTTACAAGTTTGTGGTTGTAAAACTTTGATATAACTTCAATTTTCTGAAATATTAAATTTGCTAAAGTCTCAATGAAGAAAAATCATCACAATTCCAAAATGTTGACAGGTAAAAATTAATTTAATTAGCAATACATTTCATTTGCTTTATGTTTACCCAGGTGTGTACAAATCTATTGGATTTAGGAGACAATGAATAGTATGTCAACTACATGACTGACTTAAAGTTGTTAGAAGAATAATAAAAATGGAAACATGAAAATTTATATGCCCTGCTAGAAAAGTGGTATGTCCCCCATCCAGAAATTCAATTACTCTATATGCAGATGCCTGATTTATGATTTTCAAACTGAAAAATTGAAATGAAATGCAAATCAGGGAAATTGAAAAAGAAAACTTTCTTAAGACCATTCATAGGACCTGTTCATACTCTACTATGTAAGCCAAAAAGGATTTCGTTTCATTTGTTGATTCGTCCCTCACTGGAATTTTGAACATCCTTCCTGGAAAAATGTGTATTGCACCCTGAATAATATTTTATTGTGGGATTTCTTTGTTCTTCAACAGAATTATCGAAAAATTACTTTCCTACCTTCCAATACATGAACTCTATCTTTTATTTCTACTCACCACTGTAAACTGACCACTGTAACCTAACAATGTTTGCTCAAGAACAAGTGTCATGGTATCAATTAATGATAATGTCAATTGTCAATTTCAATAATATTAGTTTGGAATTTCATTTTACAATATATTTAAAATTTGATACTTTTGGTTTTATTACCTAAAATACTTCTACCTTACACTTTAAAATCTCCAGAGAGCATACTTTAACAGTCACACCTTTTTGTTCAAAATCATTCTCAACAAAAAATGATTTTCATCTGTGAGTTACAGAGGCAAAAGATGATATTCTTTTGAAGCAATGCTTGCTTTACAATACAAATAACCAAGATTGATTTTTTTTCAATGTTTTTATCACTGATTATTCTTAGTCAATGTTTGAAGTCCATTGCATGTGGCAGATGCAATGATGAGAAAGTCATCAAAAGCTGCTGATCTGATAAGTTACACAAATGTTTGAATAGATGAGAAAACTTGTTCTTTACTTTTTATGACTTAGTCTATTAGTAACCATTATCATCATTACATCAATTGTAATTACTATTACTGCATAATATACACTTACATATAATTATTAAGAGTATATTTTCAACCCATATTTTAAAAATGCAGTAAAGGAAGAACAAAAATTTCAAAAAAACTTTAGATCTCAACGGTGCAATCAAAACATACCTTTCCCTCTAATAATTTTTTAAAATCTTCTACCCATTCCTGTTTATTAGCATAACCATTGGGTATTTGTGTCTCTCTTTGTGGACTGCTCATGTAATCTGCATCTGAATGAAAGAACACTATTACTGCACTAACCTAATGCTTGTACTTGTTCACAAACATAAAAAAAGGACTTACCTGGAGGATCTGATGTAATGCTATTTTCAGAAATGGTTGATAACTTACTACAACAATCTTCTTTATTTGAACATGCATTCACCAACATTTCTCTAAATTCACAAAAGAAGTATTAGTATTGGGAACTATTATTAAAATGTCTTACTCATAAATGTGATCATACCTGACAATTTTATTGTTTAATAGCACAAAAACTTCAGTTAAGTGGGATGCATTAATTGACACTGTCAAGTAAAACCATCCTAAAGCTATACCACAGATGCACATAAGATTTTTATAGATACCAATATCTCTGGGATCAGCTTCTGAAGAATTCTGGTTTCGTAAGACATCACTAACCTCTGGAAAGTAAGAAATAAGGAAACTTGTCTGTAAAATGCTGAAAAGTAATTGAATTAATAACAATTTTCAAAACTTCTAAATTACCTGACAAAAGAACTAATCCATTTTCCTGTTCTGTGTTACTCTGATATCTATTGTCACCCACAATTTGTGAACATTTCTCACAGCGAAACTGTGTAATGACTTTATTACAATTTTGCATTGCTTATTGAATATTTAACTGGAAATTAAAACCTAAAATACGTTACATAACAGTCTGCATTTCAATCTATTAAGTGTATTATATTCTATTCAATTTTTGTTATTCTCGAAATGGTACTCATTTTCTTCCCTGAAACAATGAACAAGGAAGAAATACGCAGCGCATAACTAGTTTTTGAATTTGCCTCTTAATCGAGCTTTCTACGCTATGATGACGTCTTTCGTCACTGCGGTGTTTCTCAGTGGTGCCATCCTGAATAAATTTACGTTCGGAAATGTAGTAGGAATATTAATAATACACATATTATCCATAACAGTTCTTCAGGTCTCGTAATGCCAAATACCGATATACCCGGTAAACTTTCTTAAACAGAAAGTTATTTCCTTTTTCAGAAATATATAAATTGAATCACGCTCGTATTATAACATGGTTACTATTGTATTGCTAATTAATTTTTAAAAGAGACATTTGAAAATCTGACACATTGTTTGGAATGCATTAATATTTTTCATATATATATATATATCTTGAATTTAACGTGAAACTGCCTTTGAATGACTCGAAGAATTTGCGCATCCAGTTTTGAAACTGCGACATTCGAGTTAATTTTAGAACCCGAGTTTCTTCTATTTGTTTTCCCATTTCGGTTGCTGCTGACAATTTGCCAGTAAAGTGATGAGAACTGTGATTTCTGTTTGCAAGCAAACACCGTTCGCAAATTTATTAGAAATCGCGAATTTTGTAATGACAGTACCCAGTCACTGATCAGGTACGGATTGGATGCATCTTGCCACTTTCTTCAGGCAGTGTAAGAAGATATCATGGTCTATTTTATTACAAATATCGCCATGTGTTAAACTTGTGTGGGACTCCTACAATCTGTGTTAAGGTTAATGATTATTCATCTCTCGTAGTGACCATGGATCTCGAAAGTCATTGAGCGTGACGTCACAGAGCGTGTCGTCAGCCTTGCAGCTGGTTCCTGCTGTCGAAGGTTTTCTGGTGAAGTGTCAGTGTATGTAGAAACATTTGCAAAAGTTCTGCGAGAAGCGATGTCATAGTCAAAAATTAGTTTAATGTAGAGTCGACTTGCAAGTATTATCTTTACAGAAACAATTTCATTCCTTCGCATTGAACCAGAACAATTCAGGAGAAAGTGTGGCGCATTCTTTGTCAGTATTGACTGATCTGATCCTACGAGTAAGTAAATGCTTGATAAATTGCTTACATTATATTCATATTGACGAAATAATGCTAGATACTGAAGTTTATCAGTGTGTCAGCGTTACCACGTAGTCATTTATAACCCTTGTTCGTTTGTATGTTTTACGTTGCATACTTGTCTTTGATGAATCTTTGTTTTAGGTTAAGTAAGAATTTATATTGGTAACAGATTTTGATGAGTATTAGGAGTAGGAGTATTTTGTACTCTACTCTTCCAGTTGTAAAGTTGCCTCGTGATGTGAAATTACAAATTAAACTGAAAAGTTGTTTGAAAACGGGGAATAAGAAAGGGACACTGTCAGGCTTGTTTGTGAAAGTCATTTAGTATTGTTATATATATTTGCAAAATTATGTATTGTTTTAAGGGAATTCAACATTACTAGTCGATCTCTTGATTTGTCAAAACATTCATGAAATTAATTTTCTAAGTCTTTTCGTATGGATCAAACTTAAATTTCTAAGGAACATGAGCTGCATCCAGATTGTTATACCAAAGTTCGGTTTTGTTGGTTTTTTAATGGTTTAATTTATACCCCCCCAAAAAATGTTCTGTTGAACTTAGTATTGTCAGAAAATTAAAAATGATAATGCTTTTATTGTGAAGTGTGTAATAAAGATACCCATTACATTTAATTTTTCTTTGAAAAGACAAAAAATGTCGTAAATTTTCTTTCTGATGCATTAGATATTTTCTTGATAAATTTGTAATTATTGATTACTTTTGTGATGTTTGTTTTTCTTGAGTATTTTATTTCAAATCTCAGGGTAGTTTCTTATAAATTATTATGGTATATTTTGTTTATGTATTCAAAATCTGTGAAATAATTAAGTGTTTTTTGTTAAGCGACAAATTATGAACACTAAGCACTGAATTGTATAGATATAATTGATTAAATACTTACATTACTCTTAATTGAAAATTTGTGTAATATTATTACTTCATTTACTATTATGAGTTAAATTCATAAAGAGTTAAGCATTTAGAATGTTACGTTTAATTTGTTTAATTTTTGGTTTGCTATGTCATAGAGAAACTTATACTTTGTTGTTTTTTCTTTCTTTCTTTTTTACATTTTCTATTAATATTGTAATGAAGATAATTATGAACTTGCAGTGCATATAGTAACAAAATGTCTAAAGAACCATAAATTCAGATTTTTTACAGAACAAAGGACTTTTATGATTACTCAGAACATTGACTTCTTAGTAATAGGTGAAGGTTATATTTTAAGAGTTCTATTTCTGTACAGAGCTATGACTAGTTGCAGGTGAATGAACACACAATTATTTACCTTTTTTCTGAAAGTATTTGTTTATTTTGTGATGGAATACTGCTGCATGTTTTTTAGACTGGTTTAATAGAAGCAATATTTTCCCTTGATTTTGTTTTGTTCTAAGCTTTATAATGCTATTGCAAGTTAGATTTCTGTACTGCACTAAATGATTCAAGAACATTAATGATATTTTGCTACTACATTCATTGTTACCACCCAGTAATATCTTTAATTATTTCTGGTGTCACTCTGAAATAATTAGTCTTGGTTCACTTTATTATATATTGATGTTTAAAAATGAAGTTGACATTAGCTTTAAATAATATACTTGCGCAATATTATGGTAAATATTATATGAAATATACATTTGACAGATATTTGCCAACTTCTGTTGTCAATTTTTGAGATTATTTCTTTCTATTACATTTTCATATCCGAGATACAGTGATTGCAAATTGAACTTGTGATGGTTTTAGATTTTTATTTACTGATATTTGCATTTTCAATAATATTCATTGGAGTAATATTTTAAAATAGGTTCTGCTCTGTCTTTGAGTTAGTGACTGTATATTTCATTGCTTTGAAACAATATTGTAATTAATTCTGCATTATTTTTCCAGTTTTAGTCCCAAGTACAAATTAGAATAGCTCATCGTACCTGAATTTGACGAAGTAGCTGTAATAATAGAAATATTTTGAAAACTATTGTTGCACTCTTATTGTATAGTGTATAAAGTATGGTTTAATTTGCTTGCTTTTTATTTCAATGACGTTAAAGTCCACAGATTGGTAGAAATTTAATTTAGTGGAGTCCTAGTTTCTTGCCCCCTTTTTTAATTCTTAATAGAATTAGACTTTTTGTACTTTAATTTCTGAATGGTAACTCAACATTTATTTATTACATCATTTACTCATGGTAAATTTCTAATTAAGTAAATTGCACTTATCCTTTCTGCATTTTTTAAAAGTAAATTTTATTTAATTTGTTTGCCTTGTTCATGACAATTTAATCATTAAATACAATTTGATATTAAATTTTTGTGTTGGAAATTATCACATGTATTAGTTTTATTTTATAGCAATAGTATATCATAAAACATGCATTAAATATGAAGTGGTGTTCTCTTATGTATCTTCAGTGCATGATAAAAGAATGTATTATCTTGCAGATTGTTTACAATCTACTTGTTTGCATTGCAGCTCATCAGCGCAATGGCTGACATTGAACAAGATCCAGGCCCTGGTGTAGACCTGGACATGGATCAGTCTGTGCCACCTCTAAATTCAGAATCTTCAAGAAGTGGACATCTTCCCTTTGATGATTCCATTCTCCCAGTGTACCCAGATCCCTCCAAATCTTGTGTTCAGCAGTGGATGGATATAATGAGCAAGGGAACACTTTCTTACAATGATTTTAAAGAGCATTGGCGGATATGGGTACCAAAAATCTACAGCCCTGAACCGAAAGTTAATTGTTTGGAATGGACATTTGATGAGGAACAGGCTAAACAGGTCAGTATCTCCTACCTTATGATAATATTAATCACAAAGATACCTTTTCTGGGGGTCATTTTAAAAATATTTAAAATTGTAATATTTCTTTCATTGATTTTTGCCATCTTTAAAGGCCAATATTGTTCTTGTATTTACCAATGTTCTCTTATGTAAAAATGCGCTTTCATGCATTACACAATCTTTTTATGCAACAGAATTTGGTGGAAATATAATGATATATGCTTATCTTGCATTAAATGAATCGAAGTAAAAATTCATCAATTGTATAAAAATAAAAATGTGATTGCTGTCATATGTATGTCGAGTGCCTAATGTGTTCACATATGATTTGATATTTATTTAATATACATAGTTGGTACAAATATTTTGTTACTGATGTGTAAGAATAATTACCTCATCAAATTTTTGACCTTTCATCTACTTCCCTCACTAAAAAAAGGTCTATTTTATGAAGAAAATCCATATAAATTAATAGTTTATAACAAAGGATTAGGTTAATATTTTCAACATCATTACAAAATTGAAAATACATGCAAGTAATAGAATTTTAAAAGTGTTAAATATTTTTTAAAGAAGGTAAGAGAGAGAAATATTGATCATGAAAGACACTTGCTGTGCGAGAGAAACTGACCCAGAAGACACTGGTCGGAAGAGAGAGACTGACTCAGAAGACACTGGCAGGGAGAGGGAGACTGACTCAGAAGACACTGGCAGGGAGAGGGAGACTGACCCAGAAGACAGCGAGATAGACGGACTGGAAAAGGAAGAGCTAGAGATGAAAGAAAGGGAAGAGGGAAGACACACGGAAGCAGGAGGAGAGAGGGGGGGAAACCACTACTTGGTTTGAAGATAGTATGTGAATTTAAGTTAAAAATATCCTAACTTGCAATCTTGGAGTGATTCAAGGAAGTGAATTTCAATGAAAATTTTTGCCTGTGACTTGTTCATTAAGTATGATATGTGAGGATATCTGGGATCATCATTTCAGTATTCCTATAGGTAAGCTGGTTTATTTAATTAAATCAGAAGGATTTAGAATCTAGTTGTTCATTTAAAGCAGCACTAAAAAACATTCAATTGGTAATGCCTTTGAGAGGTAGTAGGGATATTAAAGAATGAAGGGTGAAAATTAAAGTGAGAAGAAATAATCATATTATTCAGTAAGAAAATAGCTTTTCCACTTGTATTGATGAATTCATATGTGAAAAGGAATTTCAGTACCATTTTTGGAAAGTAGAGATTGAAAAGCGTGCATAACAAATTGTTCTTTGATAGCACTATTATGTACTAGTGGAAGTTATTCTTTGAGTGGACAACAGGAGAAATTGTGTAATATTGTGTGGAGTCTTCTAATAAGTCAAATTCTTTCTTAAATTTAAGAGAACTTAATGTGATAGCTAGGGAGATAATTTTTATGCTCTTAAAAATCCTGAAATATGTATTTGACCTAAAAATTTAAAAATATGACCTTCAATATGCAAATAAAAATAACAATATTTCATGTCGTCTATAAACTTTTCTTGATAAAATTTAGGAGAATCATGCTTGGCATGAAAATATATTTTTTTGTGCAAACATAATATAATCTACCCTACTGCACAAGGGAAATAATTCAAGTAAATATTCACCTCAGTGAAGTACATTGTACATCTTGTTGAACTTCTGAATGGTTTAAAAAAATGTTAAGAAATATCATACATTTACACATGTAAATTATTACCTTGAGAAAACACAAAAACACCAACTGTAACAAGTTCTGTTGAATCAATGAATGCTCACAAATAAATAATTCTGTAAAGAAGAAATGTTGTGTGGAAGTTTTTATTTTAACGAAATATGCACCTATAATTACACAAATATGCGCCTACAGGAAAAATCGTCCCAATATGCATGAATATATTAATTTATACCTCTTCGTATTCTAACCAAATGTCAAGAAATTTCATTTAGCTATGCACTGAAGCAACTGACAAAAACATGCAAAATCACAGAAATCCACTTCCTAGTGATAGCAATTAATTTCAGAACTTATAATTTTGAAATCTCATTTTCCTTCTAAAGTGAAAATCTCAATTCTGAAACTAATTGTTCTATTTGGTTTGAAATAGATAATTACAAGAGATTTAAAAATTAAATGAATGAATGTGATTGATGCCAAATAGAATGCATCAAACTATTGTATCGAATGTATCGGAAAGAACCAAATTTTTTTAAAATTTGCTTCTTCTATGCTTCATATGAAACAAATGTTTGACTTCTTTAGGTTCAGTATTTTAGATTATTCCTTCATTTTCAACTAAATCAATGATCCGCATCTGTTTGCTAAGGATTTGTCCTGTAGGATATTCCAACTCAAGGATTTTAGAACAAGTCCTTCCATCTCTTCCATGAATGCCATCTCTCTTTCTCCTGATTTGTATGTATAACACGTTTTTTGGATATTTGTACTTGTGCATTTTTTCCACATGAAAGAGCCATTTTGTCTGGTAGTCTTTAATTTCCTACAATATGTTCTTATTTTCCTGTTTGAGTTTTTCTTCTGAGGTTTGTTTTAGGTCAGCTCTTGAATATACTCATAGCAACTGGAGTTAACTCATATCATCATCATCATCATCATTGTTGCCATCATCACCATCATGAATGATTGGTGTTTAGGATGAACAGGCTTTTCCATTATTAATGCAGCATTCCTGGTAGTTAGTCTTCCACGTGTTAGTGGTCTTGTCACTTGTTTTGTGGTCTTCCAATGTCTCTGTTCCCTGCTGGTGTATATATCCATATTGATTTTGGCCATCTGTAATTGTTCATTCTGATAAGGTGATCTTACCATTTTCTTTGAGTTTTTTCCATTTCATTCATTAAGACTAGTTTTTTGTTTCTTTCTGATGTCTTTGTTTCTCACACTGTCCTATAAGGTGTCTCAGAAATCTCATATGTGCTGCTTGTATTTTTTGTTTGTCTCTCTCTTTCATTATCCAAGCTATTGGTTTAGCCATTAAATTGTGAATTTTTAGTTTTGTTTTTGCATCCATGTCAGCCAAAGTGTCCTTTAATTATTCATCAGAATCTGTTGTATTTATACAATTTATTTTCTAAATCCTCCTCAGTGTGAGTAAATACTTATCATATTTCCAAGAGTGAAAATGTGTTGACTTGTTCCATTTATTAATATTTTGGCTCTCTTTTGTTCTTTACCTTGCAGTGCCATAACTGATATTTTCATGGAATGTTTCTATGCCTCTTTTGTCAGTTCAAACACTGCTCTTTGTAGATCATCAGCATATAATCATAGCATCATGATTGTTTGATCATCAGCATATAAGATTGTATCTATCTTTTTGTCTTTCCTGATTGGGATACCTTGTTTAATTTTCTTCCTTCAGTTTCTCACTATATAGTAGATACCTCAGTTCAGTCATTGCTATTTTTTGTTTTCATTGTGCTGTTATTGACCAGTATTCTGCTCTATACATATATGGATTACCCTGGTTTTATGATATTGTAAAATTGATTCAATTTTGGCTTTGCCATTTAAAATTCTTGTAATTGTACCACATCTACTTTGCAATTATCACAAGTATAAAAATCTAAAATTACAAAGTTGTAAATTCAGCTATTACAAAATTATTATACAGTTCACTTTGTTTGTGAATTATTACATTTTTTGCTCTTTCCAAATGTTTTCCTACAAATGCTTTACATGATTTTAAGAGATTTCAAATGTGCTGCATTTGAAAGTAATGTAGTTCATACCTTGTTATGTTTGGATAATGTGAACAAGAACATTTCTTGCATTATGTTAAATTATGATTTTTTATAGATAAAATTTTAATGTTATCATTAACGTGAGGTTTGATTTCTGATAATTTATTTTCTGATTGTTTATTTAATTCAATATATAATTCACTTTGTTTATTGAAGAAACTTCTGAAACTATATGCTGTTACAATAGAGTTGTAGTTTATTTTCATTGCTAGTTTGGGTTTTGTTCATGATGATTTCAAAAAGTAAAAGAACGTTATAATCTATTTAATACTCTGGCTGGAACTTTAAGTACTTTGGAACAACCTTCATGGTAATTTGCAAATTCTAGCTAGCAAAACTTACTTGCTCTTTTGGAATTTAAGAACTTCGGAAATAGAATTGAATTTCTTTTAAAAAAAATTAATTTGCAAATTTGAAATGAAACAGGCGAACAAGGTAATTTCAATCGGTCATGTCAGCTGCGGCTTCAAGAATTTTTTTTCATATATCCATTAAAATACTTGTTAGGATTAAAGCAAAATTATTTCACTAAAAATGTAAAGATCATTTAAATATTTTACTTCGATATATATATTTATAAAAATATTTGTAATTTTCACAAAACATTAAAAAAGAAATTTACAAATTTCTTGTCCCCAGTGTAAAGATTATTTGCCTCTTTGATTTCAAAATCTTCATTCATATATAAATGAAGAAAATTATTAGCAGCATATAGTTTATGCTTTGGAATTAATTTATTGATAATATCTTAATCACTCTTAGTTGAACTAAACACCATGTTGATTAGTGTTTTCAAGCTGCTATACCTATTTTCTCATAGTTTGGTTATACTTTAATGCATGTCTTAAAAACATTAGTTCAGGTTTTGTTCTGTATAGTCATAGTGTGTGTGTCAAAATAATTTCAGAAAATTCTTCATATTCAATTCAAATATTCAATTCTTCGTAGCTTATTCAGTACCACACTATTCTTTTTGCATTTATTTTTTCTATTTTTTCTTTCTTTTTTATTTTCTTTTTCTTTTTTCATTTTAAATTTTCTTCTTTCTTAATATTTTTTTTCTTTTCTCCTCTATTTTTTCTTTCATTTTCTTTTTTTCCTTCCAGTTTTTTTTCTGCCACTTCTTTCCTCATCTTCTCTCCTTTCTGAATGGTGAGGAATAACATCTGCGGTCCTTTGTCTTCGCAGGTTTTGTTCGACCCCTTGGAGCGCTTTATTTGCGACGGCGATCCCGCGGAGGTGCTGCAGCGCCTCAGCCAGATGGAGAACCCTCCGTCTGTGTGCCGGCGCGTCTTCAAGATGGGCGAGCCCACGTACAGCTGCCGCGAGTGCGGCATGGACTCGACGTGCGTGTTGTGTGTGGATTGCTTCAAGCAGTCGGCGCACCGTCACCACAAGTACAAGATGGGCACGTCGGGTGGCGGCGGGTGCTGCGACTGCGGCGATACAGAGGCGTGGAAAACGGAGCCCTTCTGCGACATGCACATGCCGGACCACGAGGAGGCGCAGGACCAGAAGCGGCTGCCCGAGGAGCTGCTGGAGCGCGCGCGCGTGCTGTTCGCCGCCGTGCTCAAGTACGCGTACAAGCTGCTGACGCTCGAACACACGCCCTACCCGCCGCGCGACCTGCGGGTCAAGGAATACGAAGAAGACCGCTTGGGGCTGGTGGATACCGACACCTACTGCACCGTCCTCTTCAACGACGAGACGCACACCTTCGACCAGGTGATCACGACGCTGGGCCGCGTCATCAAGTGCTCGCAGAAGGACGCCATCGAGTACGTGACCAACATCGACCGCGAGGGGCGCGCCGTCGTCAAGTGCTCCACGTTCCAGCACTGCACCGAGATGCGGACGGAGATCGAGCGGTTCACCTCGCGCCACGGCAACCGCCCGTTGAAGGTGTTGGTGGTGCACGCGCACGTGGTGGCGCACCAGATCTACGCGATGAAGCTGCTCGAGTGGCTGCAGAAGCTGCTGGGCCACGCGGAGGGCTTCCGCGCGCTCTTCAGCGAGGTGGCCCTCCAAGCCACGCCCCCCGACGCGTCCATCGTGGAGGGCATCCTCCTGCGCGACACGCACCTCTGGAAATCCGCGCGCACCCACTGGCACCGGCTCATCATCTCGGGCATGCTCATGGAGTACGAGAGCAAGAAGGCCTTCGCCAGGGTCTTCACCAAGCACTACGGCACCGTCGTCAAGGACTTCATGCGCGACGACCACGACCACTCTTTTTCCATCGCGTCGATGTCGGTGCAGGTGTTCACCGTGCCCACGCTGGCGCATTACCTGATCGCCCACGAGGAGGTGCTGTTCGTGCTGCTGAACGCCTTTCTGTCCGAATGCTCTCGTAAGTGCAACAAGTCCGGCAAGCTAGAGTTCGAGCGCAACGTGCCCAACGGTACCTTCAAGCGTGCACAGTACATTCTGTACGACCTGCGCTACCTGTTGAGCGCCAAGCCCACCGCGTGGACGGACGAGCTGCGGCGCGGTTTCCTCCAAGGTCTCGCCCCGCTCCTCAATCTACTCACCATGATGCAAGGCATGGACATGGTGACGCGGCAGGTGGGCCAGCACATGGAGTACGAGCCCGAGTGGGAATCGGCTTTCAACCTGCACATCAAGCTGGCGCACGTAATCACTCTGGCGCTGGAGTGGTGCGGCACCGACCGTGTGGTGCTCATCAAGGCGTACCGCGCCACGCTGAAGAAGCTATACGAGAACCTGGGATCAGACCTGTCGCAGGTCGGGGAGGTGCGCGAGCTGGCGGACCATAGCGCGGCGTGCCTTCCCTATGACGTGGCCACTCAGCCCGTGTCCATCCACCTGCCCCTGTCGCGCTTCCTGGCCGGGCTCCACCTGCACCTGGAGAAGTACGACCTGACGTTCGACAGCCAGGAGTTCGCCGCGACGGGCTGCCAGAAGCCCACCCCCGAGCAGATCATCGAGCCCGTGCTGCGCACGCAGGTGATGATCTCGCAGGTGCACGCCGGCATGTGGCGGCGCAACGGCTACTCGCTGCTCAACCAGCTGTACTTCTACCACAACGTCAAGTGCCGGTCGGAGATGCTGGACAAGGATGTGGTGCTTCTGCAGATCGGCGCGTCTCTTATCGAAGGCAACGAGTTCCTCATCCACCTGCTGAACAAGTTCAACCTCGTCAACTGGGCGCACCCGCAGTTCGAGACGAACTCGCTCAAGAGCTCCGAGGAGGACAGCATGCGGCAGACCATCAGCCTGGTAGAGGAGTTCCTGGGCGTGCTGCTAATGATCGTGGGCGAGCGGCACATGCCCGGCGTGGGCCAGGTTTCGGCGGACGACCGCATCAAGAAGGAGATCGTCCAGCAGCTGTGCATCAAGCCGTTGCCGCACTCCGAGCTGAACAAGACGCTGTCGGAGGACGTGAACCACGAGACCGGCATGGAGCGCGTCATCGACCAGGTGGCAGAGTTCAAGAAGCCAGCGCACGGCCTGGGAAAGGGCGTGTACGAGCTGAAACCCACGCTCTTCGACGAGTACAATGTGTTCTTCTACCACTACACTCGCGAGGAGCTGTCCAAGTCAGAGGAGGCCCAGCGCAAGCGCCGCAAGCAGGCCGGCGAGCTGGAGTGCTGCCCGCCGCCGCCGCTGCCGCCGCTCACCGACGCCTTCATGATGGCCGCCAACCTGCTGCAGTGCGACGTGATGCTGCACGTGCTGCGCGTGGTGCTGGAGCGCGCGGCCAACCTGCGCGCGCGCTCCTTCTCCGAAGCGCAACTGCACAAGGCGCTGCATCTAATTGGCTACGCGCTGCACGAGCAGGTAAGCAGCCACTGGCCAGGGCGCTCGCAATCGATTCATTTCAATGCTTTGCAATTTTACGCGGTGAGACACAATCCTCAGGTCTGCTTTCACGACTGACCACGCAAATTTCGCTATGCTCCTTTCACCATCCATCGGTGAAAGAAGGTTCAACTTGCTCAAGCGGAATCTCAATGAAGAACGTGTTCAAAGCGGAATCTCAAGGGCCTAGAATTTTTTTTCCGTATTAGACAAAATTCCGCATTATGTAATGTATAACTGTAGTATTTATATCTGGCAGGACCACGATTCATGTTCTCATTAGACAGATTTCCGCATTATACACGTTCCACGTTGAGAAAGTGTTACTGTATCATTCGGCCGTCGAATCAGGTGATTTTAAATTTAGCTCAGATGCTTCTTTTAAGTTTAATCTTTTACGTGCAGCAAATCTACTACAGGGGGAAGTCTGCCTGACTTCCCTTCCAATGGAAGGCAAATGAAAGCTTTCTCCCCTTAAAAATCCACGCCTTTGATCGAATATGAACCCACAAACTTGGGTACAATAGCCCGATACGCTCTTATACCAACGAAACCGCTGCCCACCGCCGCGACCGGGCTTTCTGGCAAACAAAGGAAGAGCCAGTTACAAAACAGATGGTTTTGGAAAAATCTTATTGAAATTTGGAACGATTGATGACAATTTTAAATCTCGATATTATTCCTTAAATAACTTTCATGCGTCTCCTACCCACAATGATTAACTGCAACGATAACTGCAATGATTAACTGCATTTGCTGCGTGGTACTTGAGCAGGTTGAGCACTTCCGGGTGCTCACTTTTTGGAAAACCGGGATGAGGCAGAGAATTTGGAGAATTGATCGGAAAACGACCAGTAAAAAAGCGGATGTTGGTGGCGGGGGAGAAGGGGAAAACCTTGATAATTATAAATCCAGACATTTTTTAAATAAAATATTTGGTATATTAATTATTCATGGTAATTTCGGTGCAGTTTGTATTTGCTCAGTGGATACTGTAAATTTTGACTTTCACTGTAAGATCAGAAAGCTGATTATTGGCAACAAATGGTAAGACGTGTTTTGAATGATGGTGTCTGTCAGACAATGCTTTAGTGCAAGAGAATGTATGATGCCACAGAGAAGGGTGTTCACCTGATAACGTTATTTTAATATCGTGCCGAGTATAGTTTTTATGTAATATTTTCGGATATCGTTTATTTCCTGAAGAAGGGAGGTTACTTTTCCTCATTTGTTTCAATACCATCTTCAAGGATGTTAAGAGATGTGTGTGTGTGCGTGTGTGCGTGCGTGTGTGCGTGCGTGTGGTGCGTTGCGTGTGTGCGTGGCGGCGCGCGTGTGTGACGTGCGCACGTGTGTTGTGCGTCGCGCGCGTGTGTGGTGCGTGCGCGCGCGTGTGTGTGCGTGGCGCGCGCGCGTGTGTGCGTGCGCGCGCGGTGTGTGTGCGTAGCGGCCGCGCGTGTGTGTGTCGTGCGCGCGCGTGTGTGTGCGTGCGCGCGCGTGTGGTGGCGTGCGCGCGTGTGTGTGCGTGCGCGCGCGTGTGTGTGCGTGCGCGCGCGTGTGTGTCGTGCGCGCGCGTGTGTGTGCGTGCGGCGCGCGTGTGTGTGGCGTGCGCGCCGCGTGTGTGTGCGTGGCGCGCGCGTGTGTTGTGCGTCGGCGCGCGTGTGTGTGTCGTGCGCGCGCGTGTGTGTGCGTGCGCGCGCGTGACTGTGTGCGTGCGCGCGCGTGTTGTGCGTGCGCGCGCGTGTGTGTGCGTGCGCGCGCGCGTGTTGCGTGCGCGCGCGCGTGTGTGCGTGCGCGCGGTGTGTGTGCGTGCGCGCGCGTGTGTGTGCGTGGCGCGCGCGTGTGTGTGTGCGTGCGCGCGCGTGTGTGGGTGTGTGCGTCGCGCCGCGTGTGTGTGTGCGGCGCGCGCGTGTGTGTGTCGCGTGCGCGCGCGTGTGTGTGGTGCGTGCGCGCGCGTGTGTGTGCGTGCGCGCGCGTTGTGTGTGCGTGCGCGCGCCGTGTGTGTGCGTGCGCGCGCGTGTGTGTGCGTGCGCGCGCGTGTGTGTGCGTGCGCGCGCGTGTGTGTGCGTGCGGCGCGCGGTGTGCGTGCGCGCGCGCGTGTGTGCGTGCGCGCGCGCGTGTGTGCGTGCGCGCGCGGTGTGTGTGCGTGCGCGCGGCGTGTGCGTGCGCGCGTGGCGTGTGCGTGCGTGCGCGCGCCGTGTGCGCTGCGCGCGCGCGTGTGCGCGCGCGCGCGCGTGTGTGTGTGTGTGCGCGCGCGCGTGTGTGTGTGTGTGGCGCGCGCGCGTGTGTGTGTGTGTGTGTTTTTATCATTGAAGAACCAATTGTGTAGAACAAATTTCACTTAAAGAAAAAAATCGCTTTTTCAATTTTTAAGTTGTAGGACCACGCCTAAAAACATATTTGCAGTTTTCGAAGAGTGAGATCACAGTGAAAATCGTACCTGCACCATCCTTATTAGTGTATTTCATTCTGTTTTGTACAAGTAATTTGAAGAAAAAATTGTAGTCCTTCGTGAGAAGTTTTGAAAATGTCGGGCTAGGTTGACCGGGAAATATTCATTTTGGAGAAAATCTTACAAATTGTTTTGTCACTAGTGTTGTTCAGACTATCGTAATCCATTTTTCCCGACTTTGCATAATTTTCCTTATTTTACGTATACTATGTACCTGCACAAAAAAGTAAAAATTTGGTAAAATAAATTACCCGGAGAAGATTCATATAAAAAATAAAATGAAACAATAAATACTTCATAAATAATCACTGTCAGAGTTCATTAACCCGGCAATATTAAACACGTGGTAGGGTGCTTAAGTGTCACGAAGCCGGCCTTCCGTGTGAACAGGCAGAATCATAATTCGCTTGCATAAGCATGCGCGTGCCTCGAGTGTGTGGAGAAAAATCAAGACCATCTGCTAAACATAGCATATATACATGATGAGAGGAAACTAGGTGGATCGTGCGGGCATTTGTAATGAAGCACATGAACTAGAATATATTTCACGAATACGTAAAATATGTTGAACTAGAACATATTTATCAGGGTAGATACTGCGCACCTTGCTTTCCAAGGAACCGCCTTTGGAATAAAATAACAATAAGAAAAACATCTTACATAAGCGAGAGCGTGCAACCTTGAGTGTTCAACGCCGGCTTTGTTTCCACTGCCTTCTTGCAGTGGACAGCGTAAGTGAGTGAAGTCATCGTGTTTAGCTATTATTGGGAATTACAACTCCAATATATTGTGATGAAACGGCATATCTTCAGAAAGTTCGAATATTTTTATGGTAGCAGTGGTAACATACTTCGTATTTGGGGGTAAATGTTTGGTCTCTTCGTCAAAAAAAAAAAAATGTATACAGTTTCACTTATAAAATTGTAGCAAGAAGGTCAGACGTTCCGTTGAATTTGACTATTGGAATAATTTCCAAAATTTATACATAAATCCCAAATTCGTGTCTAAAAAAACTGTCTTCAATTCCTTCGTCGTCTTTCATTAGAAAATAAATATTAAGAAAATTTTATGAATATTAATTTCACTGGAAGGTACCTACTTATAAACCCATTCTCACAAACCCGATTATTTTTAGCCATTCTGAAGGTATAGGAGGATTGAACTGATTTAATAGACTGAACTGTAGGCAAGGTCCGTTTCAAATCGAAGACTTAACGATAGATTTATTCACCCATTGCACGAAACCTATTGTTCTTTGGATACCGTGGATTTGTGTGGTAGAGAAATTCATTCCAGTTAACCTTTACATAGAAGAAAGTGAGTAGTTTTTGTGTAAAAACGAGAGTGTTCTGTCGGAAGCGTGTGTGTGTGTGTAAATGAGTAGTGGCGGTGACCACTTCACAATAGCGAACGTATCATAAAACAGACTAAATTCAAAGTGAATTAATTTGAGTTTCTTTCTTTTGAAGTGAAAAGTTATTATTAAGATAATAATTCGTCATGTCTTAAAAGTATTCAAAGGTGAATCATCAATTTATCCTATAATTATTTTGGATTGAAGTAAATTGAAAAATTCTGCGCTACATTATGAACATATCATTTCCAAATGCAATTGCAAGACTACCCAGTAACCACCCCAAAACAAGGGACTGAGGCACCAAAGTAGAAGTGTAGTTTTGTCTGATGAGAATCTGACAAGGAGATTCGGAAAAGACTTATTGATTGACATGTCATGAAATCCGTGGCACTGTTACTCGCTTTTTAAGCATCCTGGATATGTGTAAGAAAATAGCTTATTGAGCCCATGATGCCAGGAGTTCGAGCAGATTTCCAAAGTTCTGGGAAAATGATAAAAAACTACGAAAATGGTTATGACTAGAAATCGGGAAAATGTGTAGTATCAAACGTCCAAATATGTACATAAATATGTAATGAATGTAAACAGTGAGAATATGTAATAAATATGTAAAATGTGATATAACATGTATTACTAAAATACACTAATTATAAAACACATTTACCTAATTCGAAATTACATTTGTCAAACATTTCCTAACAAATTCTACAAACGTTTTGAAAATGATTTGGTGAGAAAGTAGAGGTACGTTTTGCACTATACAACTTTTCTGTCAGTAATAAAAGCTGCATCTATTGCTATCCAGAACGGTAGTTTAGCAGCCACTCTGGACGCAATAGAAGTGCTCGTACAAATTGGCGAAATCTGCCAGCAATCGTTGCGGCGTGCAGCATTCTCATCGGTGTTACACGTCGGATCGATCGATAAATTCTCAGAAATGTTGACGTTCGCGAAACCTGGCGTTATTGATACTCTTCACACCTAAAGGTGAAAATGATCTGTCGCTGAGTCACACTTCCCGCCACCGATAATTGAAGCAGCTTCGCCCGATTCTAAGAACATCAGACCGCGTCC